GACGAAAATATCACTTTTTACAAAAAATGACAAAAATATTCACCAAACTTAGAGAATTGAAGGTATCATCATGAAATGAACAAATCTGAGAGAGGTCCACATATAGTACCTATATATGTAATATCAAAGAAATCGAGCTTGCGGATTTTAACAAGAAGTCGAAAATATCACTTTTCACCAAAAATGACAAAAATATTCACCCGAATTAGAGAATAGAAGATATCATTACAAAATGAACAAATCTGAGAGAGGTCCACAGAAGATTTAAAAAACGCTTAGATAAAAGTAGGGTGTGCCACATACATCTCATCCAGGATGGGTAGTGTGTCACCCCACTGTATAGTGGTATGATCCATTGTGCAGAGTTTTAAATTGTTATGGAGTGTACTGTGTTTGACCTGCGGTTACCTTGTATATGTCCAATGAAGTGTGCAGTTACATTATTTATAACCATCGGGAGGGGGGGGGGGGTACTGTCACAGCAATGCGTTATTTACTGATGAGCCAAAAAAAATGGTATAGCAAAACCAGCATCTTATATTTTCCTTTAAATTTTATTCCTCAGATATAAAAAGTAAAGTTTCTGAACATAGCACTCAAGAGTTTATAATTTTTTTAGGATTTTTATATGAGTTTTAGAAAAAAAAAATCAATTTTCATGAAAAATCTAGATAAAATGACAACAATTTTAAAGTAAAATAAAAAAAACGAGGACATTGAAGGGAATATTGATCGAGACCAGGCCAGAATTTAGGTCAGTCTAAATGAACCTTAAAAAAAGATATTTCTTCTTTGTGTTCAGAGCCAAACGTGACAAAATGTAGTTAACAGTTTGTTTAGCCATGTATGTTATTCACATTTACAATTACATTGTCCACACTGTATGCTACCTGCGATTGACCTGTAACTTACCCCCATTTATTAGTGTAATGAACAAAAGTATAGAAACATTTGAAATGCCAAGTCACCCGGCCACCCCCTAAACATGCACCCCTACACTCACATACACGTCTTACCGTCGTTGTGACGACACCTTTAATATAGTTTAATTAATTTTTAAAATAGTTGTGATATGAACTCGATTAGAACGCTTTCCTATATAGGGTTGCATTTTAATTGGACTTTAATAACTCAATTACAGTGCAATTCAAAATAGAAGTGTGTTTGAAATTAGTTTATTTAAAGAAAAGTTGAATTTCCTGTGACTTAACATAGGAATGTTTGCGAAGCTTAGGTTTAGTAAAGGGGGAAGATATTGTACAATCATATTAATATTATTAAAAATTGTACCGTACTTTCCCCCTTTCCCCATACATGCACACACTCACACTTTTTTACAGGTATCACATAAAGTGAATTCATTGATTATCCACTGGTGTGGGTGGGGGATATAGTGGTTAATGTCCATCTGTGTGTATATCCATACAGAAGCACTGTGCAGATAGAAACATTCACACAGTGTTATACAGAAGATATTGAAAACTAGATCTGATCAATATATTCAGTGACCATATATGGTCATAAATGCATAACTATCATATCTAGAGCACTATCGTCTTTCAAGCAGTGCTTTTGATAAAGATGCTAAGGAATCTGCTATCTCTGGTGGCTTCCCTGTTTGAATACAGCTAATAGCATTAAATTCACTTTAATTGAAGTTTACTTATTTTAAATTGTGTTCATATATAAGAATGCAATTTAAATGCAATTTTTGTAAATTATAAATGTGTCTTGTCTTAAGGATGTAGTAGACATAACAGTCACTATTTTATACATTTTTTGTTTATTGTCTATTTTGGTGGCATTTTTCTATCTGCATGCAATGGATGTGTTTCCCACTCAAAATATTAACCAGTACACCCAAAAAAGGCAATTTTAACAAAAAAGTTAGGATATGTGTTTATAACAGCAGACCGCTCACTTTGATTTCAGGATAATCGGCTTTGAGCGCAAACAATAAATATTGACCTAATTTGCATAAGTTGGCCTATTTAGCAACGGAAACAATGCACGCACGCCCTGTCTCTGTGATCGTTCTATATTAGTACACCGTGTGTGACACATCAAAAAATTAGCGCTCCTTAAAATTGTTATCAGAATTATTATTAGAGAAGAAAGGAACAAAAAAGGAAGAATATGACTCCAATATCCGAAGAACCAAAACTTCGTCTCAGAAAAAACAACATCGACCGCGATTCGGTAAGTTCGGACTCCAACGACGGTGCAACATTTATCTACATGTAGCTCAGAATTGAAGAACTAGAAAAAGTGTCAAGAAGTGCATAAACAAGGAAATTATCGTCA